CCACGTACACCACAACAAAATGGAGTGGTGGAACGTAAAAATAGATGTCTCGAAGAGATGGCTAGAACTATGATCAATGAGGCAAAAATCCCTAAGTATTTTTGGGCGGATGCCGTGAGTACCGCGAGCTACGTGTTAAACCGAGCCGTCATTCGACCGATACTCATGAAAACGCCCTATGAATTATACAAAGGGAGAAAGCCAAACCTTTCCCATCTTCGAGTCTTTGGTTGCAAATGTTTTATTCATAATAACGGCAAAGATAACTTGGGAAAATTTGATGCCAAGTCGGACGAAGGGATTTTTCTCGGTTACTCACTTCGTAGCAAGGCCTATAGAGTGTTTAATAAACGTACTTTGGCTATTGAGGAGTCCCCTCATGTTGTGTTTTCCGAAGATAATACTCGCTTGGCGAGAAAGGCTATTTGTGATGATCTTGCAGACTCACTTGAAAGGATAAACATTGAAGACGATGAGGAAAACACGCCATTATACACCAACCCGCAACCACAACCTAAGGAAACACCTCAAGTGATGGTCGAAAATGAGGACCAAGCGGACGAAGAAGAACAAGAGGAAGCCCAGGAACAAGAGGAAACCGAGCTTCCCATCGCTTGGAGAACGCACAAGAATCATCCACTTGACCAGGTAGGCAGCATCAACCGCGGGGTAAGTACTCGTAACTCACTTAGAGACACCGTAGGACACATGGCTTTTGTTTCTCAAATTGAACCTACAACCATTTCCGAAGCAATAAACGATGAACATTGGACCTTGGCTATGCAAGAGGAGCTAAACCAATTCAATCGGAATGACGTTTGGGAATTGGTGCCAAGACCCGATGATCGTACGGTTATTGGTACGAAATGGGTGTTCCGTAACAAACTTGATGAAAATGGAATAATCACTAGAAACAAAGCTAGGCTCATAGCTAAAGGCTACAATCAAGAAGAGGGCATTGATTTCGAAGAAACTTATGCACATGTAGCACGTTTAGAAGCTATTCGTTTACTTCTTGCTTTTGCTTCGTCAATGGATTTTAAACTTTATCAAATGGATGTTAAGAGTGCCTTCCTCAATGGTTTTATTCAAGAGGAAGTGTATGTTTACCAGCCCTCGGGGTTTGAAGACTTAAGTTTCCGGACCATGTCTTCAAACTCAAGAAAGCGCTCTACGGTCTTAAACAAGCACCCCGTGCTTGGTACGAATGGTTAAGTAAATTTCTTTTCGATAGTGGTTTCCAAATAGGAAAGGTTGACACTACACTTTTTATCAAGAGTAAAAACAATAACATCCTTTTGGTTCAAGTTTATGTAGATGATATTATATTTGGTGCTACTAACGAGTCTTTGTGCAAGGAATTCTCAACGTTAATGACAAGCGAGTTCGAAATGTCGATGATGGGTGAGCTCACATTCTTTTTGGGACTCCAAGTCAAGCAAAAGAATGATGGCACGTTCATTTGTCAAACTAAATATTGCAAGGAGCTCCTAAAATGGTTTGAAATGGACAACACCAAAGCCATGGCAACCCCGATGAGCATGTCCTACCATCTAGACAAAGACGAGAAAGGTAAGGAAGTAGAAGTCAAAAAGTATCGAGGTATGATCGGATCCCTTCTCTATCTTGCCGCTACTAGGCCGGATATCATGTTTAGCGTATGCCTTTGGCCATTCGTCTCTCGGGCTCGGAAGGATATCAACTCGATGCTGATTCGGGTCTTCTACTCCAACCTCCGGAGTGAGGGCGACGTGCTCTACTCTCTTGTCAAGAGCACGCCGATAGAGCTTTCCGTTGAGCAGCTTGGGCGCATTGCCGGCCTCCCCTACCAAGGCGACGACGTCTCCCACTATGGCGGAGAGGACTGGGTGCTTAACAACGAGGGCCTTATCCTCAACGAGCTTGGCATCACCGAGCTCATCCGCCATGCCTCGGGCCGTCCCACCATCCACTCCGCTAACCCCGAAGGCCGTCTTCTTCTCTACATCGTGTCCCGAATCATTAAGCCCCGGAAGCATGGCCACACAATCATGTCTGGTGAGGACCTCAAACTCATCCATGCAATCATGCACTCGGCCCCAATCAATTGGGCACAGTTTGTCATGATCAACATGACGATTGCCGCGTCCACCGACCACAATCACCTCCTCCCGTACCCGTTCGTGGTGATGGACATCCTTGAACGGTTCAAGGTGACCACCACCGTTGGCCCACTCACGAAGGCCATGAAGATTTGGGCGATCAGCACCCAAACATTCAAGAAGCGGTCGGACAACGCCGGACCTGCCACTTCCGTGCCACGGCGCCGTTCTGCTGCTGGCCTAGCCAAACCCCAGGCCCGGGCCAACCTTGCCTCCATCGCCGACTCCCTCAACCGACTGCACTTCAAAGTTGATGGGATGGATGGCTACCTTGAGAGGCTTGACGAGGCAGTCCAACGCCAAGGGTACGCCATGAACGCGTACTTCCAACGCGTTAACTACGTCCCCCCACCGTACCATGGCACGTTCTTTGGGCAAGTGTACGGTGACGAGGACAAAGACGATGCCTCCTACGACCCGTCAAGCTCCCCGGACGAGGACGAATTTGACGACGCCGTTGACGGTGATGAGATGGACGTCGACGACGAGGAGGAGGAAACCGAAGACGAAGACTAGGAAGCCCCTAGAATTTCTCTCTTTTATTTTAATTATCCTGTTTTTTTTAATGCTTCCGTTGTACTCCGCTATTTCCCATCTTCAATAAATAAAAGTTATCCTCTATCTTTTTGGTAATGTCAAAAGGGGGAAGAAAAGGGTTATGCATACGCTAAGGGGGAACGTCCCTAAAAACGGGATCGTTTGATTTTAATATGACAATTTTTTTAAGCACAAATTAAGGGGGAATTTTTTCACTCTTTTCAAAGTCAAATATCCCTTAGTATGCATATCCCCGTCTTGTTTTCCATTATCAAAAAGGGCGAAATTGTTGGAACACGGGTTTACGCCTACGTCGTACTAAATTGTGTTCGTTTTTATGACAGGTTTTGATAATGCCAAACCGCCGTGACACGACAAGACTAAAGTGAGCAAAACCAAGGCGAAGAAACACGGCATGATGACATGTGAACCAAGAACCAAGAATCAAGAACAAAGAATTAGAATTGCGTCGAGTCGGTCTTAATGTGATCAAGACCGGCACAAACTTCCAAATCTTGGCTCTCTAGGCTCAATTCATCAAAACCATTTTTGCAAATTCCAAAATGTATTTCATAAGTTTTTAAACCTGGCTAAAAACACTTGGAGTTCGCAAAAACCAAAAACCAAGTCATCCGGCGTTCGGTTTTCAGAAACCAGCGTTCGGCTTTCAGAAACCGGCGTTCGGCTGTCGGTTTTCAGCATTGGTTTTTGGGCATCCGAACCAACCAAGTGGTTTTTAACTTTTTATGATTGGTTTTTACTTCTGGGCATATTTAAGCAGTTCTCCAACAAAAACGCTTCAAAAACCACCTTCCGTTCATGGTCGTTTAGTGAAAACCATGCAAAACGACACAAACTTGGTTAGCCGTGGTTTACAACTAAATGACGTAGTTTTTAAGTTGTTTTACTTGATTTCTTAGCAAAATGCAATAAACAAATGTTTTCAACACTTAGTTTTTATTTTGGAGAACTTACGTTTTTGACATCGGCTAACGGCATGACTAAACCAACCATGGGTCTGGCTAAACCAGCCCAACAGCGATGTTGGTGCACCCAACAGCGCTGTCTGGCTTGAGTAGCTGAAAACCATGGTTTGGCGTTAAGTCTTCCAACAGCGATGTTGCACACTAGACATCGCTGTTGAGCCAAGTTTGGATTTCCACAAACTTCTGGAACAGCGATGTAGGCTTCCTTACAGCGCTGTCCAACCTAAGCCAAAAATATAGTGCATTGGCAGAAAGTTTCAGGACAGCGATGTTGACCCAGCAACAGCGCTGTCAGGCCAAAACTCCACCTTCAAAGTCAGACCTAAACAGCGATGTTCAAGTATTGAACAGCGATGTAAGGACCTGACCGTTGGAAGGAATTTAAGGCTAAAACTTTCCTTGTTTGGAAGTCAACAGCCAAAACAGCGATGTAGGGNCCAACAGCGATGTTGCACACTAGACATCGCTGTTGAGCCAAGGTTGGATTTCCAGAAACTTCTGGAACAGCGATGTAGGCTTCCCTACAGCGCTGTCCAACCTAAGCCAAAAATATAGTGCATTGGCAGAAAGTTTCAGGACAGCGATGTTGACCCAGCAACAGCGCTGTCAGGCCAAAACTCCACCTTCAAAGTCAGACCTAAACAGCGATGTTCAAGTATTGAACAGCGATGTAAGGACCTGACCGTTGGAAGGAATTTAAGGCTAAAACTTTCCTTGTTTGGAAGTCAACAGCCAAAACAGCGATGTAGAAGTACTGGACATCGATGTTGGCATGACCGTTGCTTCCCAATTTTCAAAACGCAAGCCTAGAACAGCGATGTCCAAAGCTAGGACAGCGCTGTCTGGGTGAATTTCAGCAGATCCAAATTTAATCAAATCCCACAAATTGTGCAAATCACTCCTTAAATGTTTTGGTCCGTTGGAGCCTATTTTTCAACTATAAAATGGGGTGTTTGGGTCTGTTTTAAACATCACATTGACTTCACAACTCCTACTCCTTCATTGCAAATCACTCATTCTTTATTCATAGCTTTTTGAGAGCCATTTTTGTGAAGCTTGTGTTGTGTTCTTGAGCGTACTTAGTTTACTCATAATCTACTCTATAAGAGAGCCTCGTTCTTGAGTGTATTTGTGTTCCTAGACACTTTGAGAGAAAGATTTCTCTCGGTAGATTCAAAGGAAGGGTTGTTTCCTTTGAAGGACTCGTTGAGGTTCGTGTAACTTGAACTCTCAAGTTGTAACGGTTTGTTAAGCACCCGCAAGCTTAACGAGATAGTAGTGTAGCTCGAGAGAGTCTCTCGGGAGGCTGGATTAGCCACAAGTTGTTGTGAACCAGGGTAAAATTCGGTGTGCCTCTTACTCTTCTCTTTACTTCTCTTTTAATTTTTTAAATTTCTGCGATTTCTACGATCAAACGCTATTCACCCCCCCTCTAGCGTTGGTCTATTATTCTAACATATAGAAATGTTCCCCAAGGTTCATAGATCATTTTAGAATCATTAAATCATATCTTTAACATCAAATTCAAGGTTTATGATTCTTAGTTCTTCAAACATGTCAAACACAAAACTCAACCAAATGACCATTTATGAACGTAGAAATGAGGAAGTGAACCCATTGCATTTTTGGCTGGCGATTCCTTTGACATTTTTATCGGTTTGTGATATTCTTCTAGTTATGAAGTTGGATTTCTACATCATATGAATTCTCTTTCAATTTAAGGCATTTTGGGTTTCATTGTTACTATGCATAGCGCGACTGTGGAACTTGAACTGTCACAGGTTTTTGCTCGTTTTTGGCCTAGCTTTGTGGACTTATGTTCGTTTGTTTGAGATGGTGTTGATGCTTGATTTAACAACACTTGTTTGATTCTACGTTTGATATGTGTTTGAGGAAGTGAACCCATTGCCATACTGCTGTGATAGTTTTGGTTGTTGTATGGCTGTTATTTTTGCTGCTCTATGTTTTGGGGTATATTTTTGCTATTATTTTTGGGAAGAACACCTGCTGCATCCTGTTTGAATCATGGGGGCTGGAGAAGGGTTTTGATCAGCTGTCCATTGTTGGGTCAGTTGGTCATGCCCGTTGTAGGGGGTGTTTTGCTTGGAATACAACTGAGGGCTGTTTGGTCTTGTTTTGGGGCTGATGCTGTTCTGGAACTCAGATTGTGTGCTGCCTTAGCATGACTTGCTGCCTGTGCAGTGGCTTTGGCCAGCAACTTCTACACTGCTGCTGCAATACTTTCATTGGCTGTTTTGGGATGGATTTTATTGATGAAGGAGGAGCCTAAACCTCTTCCTACACCTGCTGATTGCACATGCTACGGACAGGGACATATTTGGCTAGTCTATGGGCTGGATTGTGGAACCATGATGAACTGATTTTATGGAAGACCATACCCTGTGAAATGGTGCTCTTGCTGCTGCTGTTTTGGATTTTTGCGCATGACCTAGGGGTCAGGTTCTCACCTCCTCTTGAAGAGAGGTCTGCCGCAAGAAGACATTACCTGGAGTGTGCGTGTAGCTGCATTTCCTGGCTGAAAGTTTGGTCTTGCTGTTTGCTTTGGGTTGGAAAGCCGAAGGGAAGATGGAGCCAAGTCTTGCCGCATGCTTAGGTCCCTGGTTTTGGTCTCGGTTTCGCTTCCTATTACTTGGGCTGCCTTGGTGTGTTTATTTGCTTTGTATTATGATCTTGATCATGGGCTGATTTTGGATTTGCGCTGGAATTGTTTTGTGGTGGTTCTTGGGCAATTGAAGGGTTTCCCGTTGTCCATGGTTTTTGCCTCTTTTGGGAGGTACCACCATTTGATTTGGAGCTAGGTTTTATGTTTGTTATTGCCTTTGGGTCTTGCTGGCAGGCTGCCCGGTGCTCTTCTTGACCCTTTCGGTTGGGGTTGTTGGAAGAACCGGAACTAGGCTATGAAGTGAGCTTCTGGCTAACTGGGCTTCTTTCTCGGGTTTCAGAGGTCGTTTTTGTTGATCAATTCTTAAACATAAAATACGTAGTACAAATTAGGGATTAAATCATGTGTACCTGATAATCCTGTAAACGTGGTTAGGGATGAGGCCATGATTCTCACGCAGATCGAGTTCCCGTTTAGGGTGTATCGTTATGATGACTAAGGTGAGGATGAGACTCACGAGAATAGAGAGGCAGAGAGAAGGCGTAAGATTGGTGTGTTCTGATCTCTGCCTAATGACCTCTATATATACACCCAAGGGGAAACCCTAATTAGGTCATAAGGGTAATTACGTCCATCGAATAATTACCAAATAAGTACGTAGGGTATTTATTAGGTCAATGATTAATTAATTAGATAAATGATAACTCAGGCCACATAATAAAATCGTATCTAACATTCTCCCACTTGGCCGAGTAATCATTTATGATGAGTATTAGATAAGTCTGATCAGATTTTAATAATCATTTTAGTTCTAAACCGAAATTGTAGCAGAGAAATACAGTCATTGAATCAATATTCAATTCAAGACCCCCATTAATCATACTACAATATCAAATTTAAAACTTAAATAAGCTAAGGATCAAATTGACAATTAAGCCCATAACATTATTTTGTATATAAATGTTGTCTATATGTCTTTAGGCATGCATAGACACATTCAGAGACAAACAAACAAAACAATGAGGAAATTTTATTATTAAATGTAAGCAAGTACAATATGCAACTAAATAAGGTCTTTAGAAAACCCCATCTTCGAAACATGTTCTTCGAAAATCTTAGGAGGGAGACCTTTAGTCATCGGA